AACTGAAGGGAAGAGGAACAGGAGGAAAAGTAGTGGAATAAGCATGATATTAACTTACTGATATTTTTCCTCAAATCAGCATTAAAATGAGTGGTTTCTGGTTTCTTTTTTCTTATGCAGAAAGTAGGGAAATTCTTGAAAAAAATACCTTGTGATTCATAATGTCCTGTGTACACTTTACTTTTTTCTTTTTTTTGCCTTGTTTTTAAACCTGCAGATCATTTGAAGACTCAGAAGTCCTCCCAGACTTCATCCCATTTGTGAAAAATACATGTTTGCAAAATATATCTTCTGTGTTTGGACCCAGTCAAAGTTCACTGAAGTGAGTAGGGATGGGATCCAATGCACTAGGCAGACCCCCAGCAGCTATCTGCACAGGACATATGGGAACTGATGCCTTTCCAGAAGGGTAGCCTGAGACCAGGTAGGACATCACACAGCTTCTCAAGTGGCATTTGTTGTTGACAGAATTGACTGAGCTCTTGGTCAGTGTATTCAAAGGAGTGGAGTCGGAGACTGATTCATTTAATCAGCCACCAGCTATCTGCTTAGGGTCAATCTAAGGAGATCTAAGACGCAAACAGATCAGCTGTTTTGACATCCAGCACCATTTGGGAGGGCATAAGCTACCCCATCTTGTCTACAGCTGCTGCTCCAGGAAGGCACTACAGTCCTGTAAGTTGTATGCCAAGTTGTCCAGCCCTGTCAGAATGTCTCACACACTGTAAATATCTCAGATACAACTGATGCAAGCCCTCGCCCCCAACTCTGCTGGGAAATAGAACACCTAGCTTGTATGTCGACACCAACATGCACGTCTTCATCTTGAAATGAACCGCAGCCCAAAAGTTTCACGGGTGCTGGAAGAAAATACAGTGTTATTTTCAGGGTCACACAGACACACAGAATTTATCTTTTGAGCCCTGAATCTGTTTATATTAAAAATATCTGTTTGTATTAAAAAAAAACCATGGCAACACAAAAAATGCCCAGTGCAGATGTTTCATGAAGGTAAGCATGCAAGCATTCACAAAACATGCAAATACTGGTGTGTATGTGCATCAGGCTTTCAGATGAGCCTTCCAAGAATCCCCTCCTTATGTGTGGTTTTAAAACACTTCCACTGTTTTAGAAAAAAAAAGGTTTCTATTTATCATCTAAGGCTGAACCGGAAACCATCAAGCTGCTCATATCAATATATGCAACTTTGTGATTTATTATAGCTCACTTTATTCCAGCTATTTTCTGTGCCTCAGATGTACAATTAACTCCATACTGTCAGCCCCATCTGCTTATGGGACATGTCTATACTGTCATAAAAGCAAAACCCAAATTGCCTGATCACTGACACTGCCCTGCACTTCACGGAAGCCAGCTGCCTCTCTGAAAGGAGAAATTTCATGTAGGAGCAGCTTTAACTCAGAGAAGTTCCTGGTGCAAGCAGTGTGGACGCAGGCAGCTTGAGACCGGACTGGTGACACACGACCTCACGTGTGAACAGTGTGGCTGCCAGTGTGACATTATATTCTGCAAGGGTCATGGGCATGCAGGGGCATTACGCTTAACTGGGGTGCTGCTAACAAGTAACATCAGCAAGAGCAAAGCATGGGTCCATAATTGTTTAAAGCTCACTTTTAATTTCTTTAAGTTATGTACAGCATTCTCTTTGTTTCTTTGTTTCCACCAGTTCTGAACACTCAAACCACAAAACCAGACCCAAAGCTAGTAGAAAAAAGGATGCCTATGCGTTTGGTCTTCATCAACACACTGCATCACACCAAGTCTCTTTTCAGATAGACTCATAAGGCTTGGTTAACCTACCCCTTTGCTGTTCTTTAGTATCAAAACCTATTACTCTTTTATAATTATGTCAATATTTGACAGAAATTTACAATTTCAGGTATTTGTAAAAGTTTAGATGCCTCATTCAAAGTAACAGCTTATGATGCTTCTATCCATCAAATGGACTAAGTAAATATTTGTTCAGTTTTATTAATGCAGTAAGTGCACACAGTGTGTATAATGCTGGGGGCCATTTAAAATATACATTAAAGCTACTTGCTGTATTGGAAAGGTTTTAACATTGAGTCAGAAGTGGTGTTTTTCCCCTTCAAAGAATGTTCTTACACATAACAGGAAGATATGAGGTTACATTACTTACAGGGATTTATTACATTTGCTTGCTTCTTGACAACATATTCTGCATCTGGCATCCATCTTCATAAATGCCCAATGAATTTAAAATTAAATTGCATTTGGGAAATCAATTTCTGGCTGTCTGAATAAATCACAAACATTCTAGCTGTAATGGCTGGATGGTAGAAAGGAGCTGGACCTTATATGTGTCCCTAAGGCTCAGGAATTCACTAACCAGCCTTCAATGTTTTTAATGTGGCAATTATTTAGGAGAATAATTACATGACTATGAGAAAGGTTAAAGGAAGGGTAAAAAATTTAAGCAAGATGACACTAAGAGCACACACGAAGCGGGATAGATATGGTCAAAGCAGCAGATATGTAATATATAATATCACATATTCAGTGATTTACCTGTTAGGCTGGAACCAAATCCCAGTTCCAAATCAATTCTTTGCAATGGATTATCCAACGTGGCAGGAACAGAGACTGAAGGCTGCCCTAGCCCAATAAAGGTATGAAGTCTGCTTAGTGAAAATCTGCTGAAATGTTGTTCTTTAACACAGGGAACACCATTCCCCTCTCTCCCACCCCTAAAAAAAAAAAAAAAAAGAAAAAGAAAAAGGGATGTTATTGATTCTGTGCTAAATCAGATACTGCAGAGATAGCAGATAGGTGGCAAATCTCTGTTATCACAGAGTTTTGAAAGATAGGTGCTATTTGGTGAAAGAGAAAAGGGTAGCACTGTTCGTTACAGAGATGACAGGCTACTAAGATATAAAAATGGCATGAATGTATCAGAATGTTTGAGGATCACCATCACTTTAGGAATGGTTGCTAAAAGTGGCCATTTAGGGCAGAAAGGGGATTAGGGGTTTGGTGAAAAAGCCCCAGGCTGTGTCTGAGTGAGTGATAGGCTGTGGAGGGGGGTTAAGCATATGCATGGCTGGAAGCCACCATTTTCCATTTACATTGCTGGCCCTAGCCTTCCTGTGACCAGCCCAGGATCAAAGGCTTCCCTGGTTGCTCAGGAAAACCAGAATTTGGCATCTCAGTGCCCTGAATGGTAATACCCTGAGCCTCACCTAGACTTCACCCACTCTGGACTACATGGAGAAGACCTCTAGTGTGTGTGGAGGCATCAGGAGCTTGGGCTCTTCCCCTCTAGGGACTGTCAAGGGTTCAGGTGAAAGCAGCCTGCAAATGCTGCTGAAGAGGCTACAGCAGGGATGAAGAGTCAGGCTGGTCTTGACAGCAGATCCAACATCCACTTAACCAACAGACAGACACACAAACGGAACTGGATTTGGATACTGAGCATGAGAATATTGTAAGTGGATTCCTGCAACGTATCACTATGGGAGGGTTAGTTTGCCAGCTATGCGTAAAGAAGGAATGGCTACTGTTAATGATGGAGGCAGTAACTTAGAAAAAAATAATAATATAGTTATTTGAAAATTGCAAAAGTTGTTTTAAAAACCCTAAGAAGGATGCGCAAATGCATGGAATCACTGTGCATGAACAGTATTTATAAATATTTTGATCAGGCAACAGTATTCCTCTCTTTCTAGTTACAAGTTAGAAACACACTGGAATTACGAGACAAGCCGGGTGAGTTTACTTTATTCATATGCTCTTACGAGCTTCTGAAAGCACCGTGATAAAGTGACCCTGCAGAAGAAGTGAACTGTGCCTTGGCCACATCCTGCTAGCACCATCTCAGCAGTCTCAGAAACAGCAAGAACTGGAAAGCACTACTGCGGAACTGAGACAACCAGGGCTTATAGATTTCAAGTTTTAAACTGAAACACATTTTCTGTGATGACACAATTAGAAACCCAGAAACAGATGTATGAGATTTTGATGCCGTCATCAAAACATCCTGACAGGTAATGGATCCAAAATGAGAGAGATCTGAACTGAATTAAGGAAGACGTTCTTTACTGTGAGGGTGGTGACACACTGGCACAGGTTGCCCAAAGAAGCTGTGGCTGCCCCATCCCTGGCAGTGTTCAAGGCCAGGTTGGACAGGGCTTTGAGCAACTTGGTCTGGTGGAAGGTGTCCCTGCCTAAGGCAGGCGGTTGGAACTGGATGAGCTTTAAGGGCTTTTTTGACCCAAACCATTCTATGATTCTAAGTGCTCACACTGTGCATCAAACTACCACTTGTTTATCGTGGCTAAGAAGCAGCACACGCCCCCCATGACCACCTTCGCAATCGGTAGCAGCACTGTACACAGTCTTTCTGGGTGTGTGCAAGCCTAAGCTAACTCAATTCAGGACAAGCAGAACTGGAAAGCAGCTAAAAAGAGCTGTCTGCATTGCAGAAAGTTGAGTTTTAAAAAGACCAGTGTAAAGATGCTTCAAATTCACAAACAGGGCATCTGCAGGATGTGAGTTTACAAGTTTTTGACTATTTAAGTTTCTGTAATGAAACCCGAGACTGAAAAAGCACTCGATATGTGGGCAACAGGGCCTGATAAGAACTTTTATTTTCGCGTGAGCTGCCTTGCAGAAGTCTCTACAAACAACGCGCACACAGAGATGTGGAGAAGTTTCACCGCTGACATCTTAATCTGCCGTGTGTTCCACCGTGCACCTAGGCAGACAGACCCCAGGCTACGGCGAGGCCGGGACCAGAGGTGCCAGCTGCGCTTAGCCTGCGTGGGGAAATGCAGACAGAGGTCATTCCCCGGCCAAACAAGGGCGATGCCACCAAGGGCAAAACGCGAGTGAAATGTAGGAAAGAAAGTAAGAAAACCCGCCGAGGGGCGCCTGAGACCCCTCTTCTTTCCTGCTGGGTACGGAAGCCCCGCCGAGGAAACAGGTGTCCTACAGGCACAGGCCGGAGGCAGCAGTGCCTCGGGAACCGGCTCCCAGTGCCGGCAGGCCTAAGTCCCGACAGCCGGGGCAGCTGCCCCTTTGCTCCCCGCCCGCCTGCCTGCGCCCGGCCCCGCAGGACCGGCCCGCTCTGCCCGGCGGGGGAGGTGGGAGGAGACGTGGGAAGGACTTGGGTTGCCACTACAAATCTGGTGACAGACCCGCCGCCGGCACATGGCGCTCAGCGCTTCCCGCCCCGCGCTCCGCAGGTGGGTGCGGGGCGGCGGCACGGCCCGGGGCTGCCGCGCGGGGTGCCCGAGGGCGAGGGGGGTGCACAGCCGCGGGCCGCCGGCGGTGCCTGAGGGGGCTCCCCTCGCCGGGACGGGCGGGTGCGCAGTGGGGTGGCGGCCTCCGCGCGGCGCTGACGTCGCCGAGGGGCCGCTCCGAGGAGGCTGCGGCTCGGGGCGCCCAAGATGGCGGCAGCGGCGGGTGACGGGTGCGTGCGGGGGCGGCCGGCGGGAGAGGGGAGACGGCTCTGCGAGCGCTCCAGCGCCCGGAGCCGCCGGCGGGAGCCCCGCGGGGCAGGTGCCCGGCGGCAGCAGCACCCTGCCGCTGGGGAGGGGCACCTGAGGAGCGGGCGCTTGTTGCCGCGGGGGCGAGCCGGGCACGGCGCGGGGCCGGGGAAGCCCCCGGGGCGGGAGCGAGGGAGCTGTGGCCCTTCCAGCGGCTCCGGTGAGGGGCCCCCGGCTGAGGAGGCGTCCCGTCGCGCTCGCTGTGTGGCGGATGGGGAGCCCCTGCGCGGTGCTCGGGCCACTCACCCGTCCCGGAGGTGTGGGGAGGGCGTCGAGGTGAGGGACATCGCGCGGAGGAGTGGAAGAAGGAGAAGGTGGCGGTGACCCGCTCGGGTCGCCTAAGTGCCCCTTGTTGTCGAGGCGAAGAGTCGCGCCATGTCGCGGGGTGGTGGGGAGCGCTGGACCTTCCTGCCGAAACCGTTGTGGGCACGCCTGTAGCCCTGCATCCAGCCGTGGGCCAGCTTGGCTGGAGCGTCTTTGCTTGCCAGGGCTCTCGGCGCAGGAGCCAGGCGTTGTCCGAGGAGCTGTCAGAGCGGTCAGAGGTGCTTGTTTTTCTAAATGGGAAGAACCGTCCAGTGTAAATCCAGACTAACAAGAAATGCTTTGTTTTCCGTGCCTTTGTGAAAGTGCTTCAGTCTGAACTATTTGTTTACCTTGAATTCTCCACTGCAGGAAATGCGCGGTTATTCGCTATAAGAGACATTGAGTGTAGTGCCGTACCGGTGTCTGCTGTTAAGTGCTACTTCTAGGCAGCATATTGCATAAACGTTCCTTAGCCGACATAAACAAAAAAGGAGGAAAAAAGTTAAGGCTCAGTACAGCTCCAGAGAAAGGAGGCTGGGAGGCTGCTTTGTTAAAAATCGGAAAAAATTTACAAACTTTCCTTTTGAAGTGCTGCTTTGATTTTTAAGTCGCGCTGTTATGCCTGCAGGACTTGGAGTTTCCACATCAGTGTTTCGTTGGGTTGTTTTCTTTAGGAAAAAATCAAAAGAAAAATATTGCTTAAGAAAGCAGTAAAGCAGTACATCTGCCTTCTGGTTACCATGCTTGTTGTCTTACACTTTTAGGGGTTCAAGGGCCATGATATCTATTTTTTTTTTAAGATAATAAATAGGTACTCTGAACCTGGTGAAAATCAGTTGGTAAACTGTCAACTGATGTAAAAGCCAGAACATTAATGGGACACACGAGCACACACGTGGGTGTGTATGTATATTAGTAAAACTGTGTACTGCATTTCTAGTCTAACGCTTGAGATAGAGTGGTTTTTCACTTACGTGCCAAGTAGTTAATTACGGAAGTAGTGGCTTAAGGAGAAAAGATTTCCTTTTGTTTATGTTTAGAGTTACAATTTTAAAATTTAACAGCTGTGACGATGAATCTGAATTTCTTGTTTACATGGAACACAAATGGAAGAAAACCATCTATTTTCTTAGCTTCTAAGTTGTTAGGTTTTGACATCGAGTACTTTTTCAGCTCATGAGTTATCCCAAAATGTACATTTTGCCAGCCATTCTTTAGTGAAACTAAGGAAACAAGCACATCAATAAGGTTGAAATATGGTTCAATGAAAAAAAAAAAAATCGTATTCCTTCTATCTTTATTTCTAGCTTGTGAAACTTTGACATAAGAAAAGACTTTTGTATATCTATTTTCCCAAACAACTTAATGCTTTAAGTAGCGCTATTATGTGTGTTAGTACTTGTTATTTTGCTTACTACTTCAGCTCAGGTTTGTGCTGAGAGCACAGGGGGGCTTGATCTCTGACGTGCTGGTCAACTAATTCACGGTTTCTTTGTGTGTGTGCACAGAACTGAACCTTGGAAGAGAAGCATGCTGAAACTAGCGCTGAATAACTTTATGGGATTTTAACGTTTTTGGAGTGTTTGCTTGTACTATTTTATTCCAGCTGCTACTTTCTACTAGGCATAAAAATGAGTATGCAGTATTTTTTATGTTTCTTTCACCATTGTCTGTCATTTTCACTCCTGTTATTTCCCCAAGTCTTGCCAAGTCTTAGTTCAGAGGTAATGTTTCTAAATTTTGTGCCTTGCTGTAGTCCTGGTGCTCCACCTCTTAAAATATTCATGCTGTCATTGTGCTGCTTGACATTCAGCTGAAGTTTTTTTGGTCTCAGTTTTGTACTTTTAGCTTTTTTTCTCAGTCTTTTCAGATATATGTCTTTTTGACCAAACTCTGCATCTTGATTTCCTCACATTTTCTTCAAAGAAAGCCTTCTCCCATGCCAAGATGTTTCCTCCCCCTCCCCCTTCCACCCTGTCTCCTTTCTCCACACATCTACGTAGGTGGGAAAATGTCATGCTGGCTTGGTTGCTGGTGGGGGAGCTGGGGTTTTAAGGTTTTCTCTTCAAGGCGCTGATCTTGCGCTTTCGTAGAATCGTGTTGCTTTTGCATGAAGAGCTTGATTGTGCAACCCTGGTTTACACAGTGATCATTCTGAAATCAGCAAACTGCTTTTGTCCTCAGTCCGGTGTCTGCTTACATTGAGGCATGTCAGCAGTTTCACTCTTGATAACATCTTTAGAATAGAGAAAGCGAGATTTTCTGACCATATAATATTAAAAAGAAGGAAAAATAAGGCGCAGTGTTTACACAGTGGCTCTAACAAAATCAGAAAGAGTCAGCCTGACAGACCCCTCTTTATTGACAGCATTGTTGTGTGTGACAGCCCTGTGAGAAGGCAGGTTTTAGTGTTCTTTTCTGGCCTGCTGGCAAGGACTGTTACTAATATGTTATGCAGGAGAAGCTATTCCTGTTAGCCCAAACCCAGAAGGATGTCTTGTCTCTTAAAATCCTGTCTAACATACTTAATTCTTGCAGCATGCTTTACCTAGGTACTTTAATAGTCCAGGAGGAATTAACATACATAGTTCACCTCTTGAAATTTATGTGAATTTTATCAGTTATATAAAAGCTCAGTTTTGGGCTTTCTTTTGGGGGGGAAGCAGGTTGTCAGGCTAAGAGAAGACATGGGATAGCACTAGTGGTCTTATTTATAAAGACAGAATAAAAAGTAAGGTATAAAAAGACTGCCTATCAGGAGGAGTGAATGTTACGGATGCTAGCGAGTTGAAAAAGTTCAGCAAGCCATTATTTTTGTCATCTGTTGACCATAGCACGCAAGGGATCTCGACCTCCCGTAATAAGCTATGGCTGGTACTTAATCTGGGAATTGCTGAATACCCAGAGGTCACGGTGCTTGAAATTCTTCAGTGCAGTGAGCATGGACTGGAGACAACTCTTAAGTAAGTTGAATGAGAATGATTAATACAGGCATGTAAAACTGTGTATACTTTAAGTTTCACTACAGCTGGCACAACCTTTCCTGTATCATAGAATAAGACCTATGCAACACATGCAATGCTGGATGCTGATTATGTGCTTAGAGTTATTACAGCTCTTATGCTGGTATCTGTATTGTAACATGTTAAAAGGACAGTACCTGTGTGCCAGTTAACCAAGCAAAGGTATTTTATTAGTTGAATCTTTTAACTACAGCTTTTATCCAAGTACCAGATGAAAATTAAAACTCCTTTCCTATCCAGCTGCAACTTTTTACCCGTTTTCCTTCCTTAGTGGTGTTTTGTCATTGTATATTAGGGTTTCCTCAAGCTAATGCTTATTCTAATGTTGACATCTGTTCTAAATTGAGTAACTTATTCTTGTGTATTTCAGATCTGTAAAAATTGAGCAATATTAGCATATTTAAGGTTAATAGCAGGAATAGAATTTTTTGGGTTCTATCCAGACTTGTCTAAGGCACTCAGTACTTTTGTAGCGTCGTTTACTTCTCTGTAAAACATAGACTTGTGGACCTTGCTATTAATACAGCCTGGGCCAGGTCTACAGTATGCATGCATCTGTAATGGTGTAACTTGTCTCTTGGCACAGCATGGATATTTGTCAAACCCTTGCTACTCTCCAGATGGATTAACTGTTTCATCTGGCAAGTCCTGCGCATAACAATACTGCTGCTGTGTGCTATTTAGCCCTTCTAGTCAGTGACATCCTGGGTGCAAACACCCCACATCAAACATAATCACTTCCTGACACATCATTTTTCTCTAGATAGTATCTTTCAACTAGAGGTAGTAGAAAGATGGTAAAACATAAAGAAAGACTGAATCACTGTCTCTTTAATTTTTGTTAGTCAGAGCCTGCCCGTTTGTTTTAGGTAAATGCACCTTATAGAAGAAAGCAAATACTTCAGCTTTAACAAATAGATGCTACCACATAACCTTATTAAAGGACGTAAGCCAGCACTAGCCAAATTTTTAGATGATTTTTTGGAGACATGGATTAGAGAGATCTGTTCAAAATGCAGGTTTTTAGAAAGTTTGCAGCAACTGAGGTATGATATCTAATGGAATTTCTGTCTTATGAGGAAATCAAGTTCTGCTTTTCCAGGTCATTCTTTCTTTCAGAGATGTTAAAATGATGTTAAAATGTACTTACTGATGATATGTCATTGTAGAAAGCGCTGGTATAATGGGCTTGTCTGAGCACAAAGGTGCAGTGATTTAATTAAAGGTGTGGTTTAATTAAATAAAGCTTCATTTGTCTGAACTGTTGGCACTGTGTAAATATAATAAATTTAACTGAACTTTGCACTTCTGCACCTGTATGCTTAGGGATAGAATTAACAGGAACATTTTGGAATCATAGAATGGTTTGGGTTGGAAAGGATCTTAAAAGATCATCTAGTTCCAACCCCCCTCTGCAGTGGGGGGTTGGAGCACCTTCCACTAGACCAGGTTGCTCAAAGCTCCATCCTCTTAACACTTCCAGGGCTGAGGCATCCGCAGCTTCTCTGGACCAACTGTCCCATTTTCAGCTGTGTTTGTATCCAGACTCTGTAACAGTGTCTTAACTAAATCAGTGCTCCTTTGAAAAAGCAGGCCTAATCTAAAATGTATCTAGTATGCTCAGTCTCAAGCCAGAGTTGCTAGGAATATAAGCAGTGGTATGAAGACCGTTTAGTATGACACTTGAAATGCTGTTGATGATGTTGATTGAGGCTATACAGAACTGAGTGTCTTTATGTACTTGGTGGGACTCAGTTTAATGGCAGTCATGGTCTTAACCTCAGGTCTAAATTTGGTATACCAACAATGTAAAAGTGACACAGTTGTGTATTTATGAACTGCAATTTATATATATATATATATTTTAGTTGCAGATTGAAATGCCATGGACAAGAAATAGTTTGGATGATGTGTTTTGACAGCATAGCTCTGCAATTTCAGTTTTAACAATGGATAAGTGTAAGCACATAGGACGTCTGCGACTGGCCCAAGATCACTCCATTCTCAATCCTCAGAAATGGCATTGTGTGGACTGCAATACTACCGAATCCATCTGGGCATGCCTCAGCTGCTCACATGTGGCGTGTGGAAGATACATTGAAGAACATGCACTAAAGCACTTTCAGGAGAGCAGTCACCCGGTGGCGTTGGAAGTCAATGAGCTGTATGTTTTCTGTTATCTCTGTGATGATTATGTTCTTAATGATAATGCAACTGGTGATTTAAAACTGTTGCGAAGTACATTAAGTGCAATCAAGAGTCAGAACTATGAGTGCACTACTCGAAGTGGGAGGACTTTGCGTTCTATGGGTACAAGTGATGATTCTTACCTTTCACATGGTGGTGCCCAAGCCTTGCTTCGTAATGAAGATCGCATGTTCACAGCTCTTTGGCACCGACGGCGTGCGCTCCTGGGGAAAGTATTCAGATCCTGGCTTGAGGTGACACCTACTGGAAAAAAGATTTTGGAAGAAGAAAGGCATCTGGAAGAAGAAGAGGAAAGAAGGGAGAAAGCTAGGAAGAGGAGACAAGAACGGAAGCGTGAGTTGAAAGCAGAGATGGAAAAGATGCCTCCAAGAAAGAGCAGTCGTTTACAAAATCAGATTAGAATGTCCTCAAAATCAGCACCCTGCCTGCAAAAAACATCACGGAATGCAAAATCTGCAGCAGAGTTGAAAGAAACCTATACCTCAGATGAAATAAGATTGAGTAAAACAAGTGACTCTCCAATGAAACGAAGGCCCACGGTGACTCCAGGGGTAACAGGACTGAGAAACCTGGGCAATACTTGCTATATGAATTCTATCCTGCAGGTATTAAGTCACTTACTTATTTTTCGAGAATGCTTTTTAAAGCTTGATCTCGACCAAACTCAGGAACTGCTGGCAACAGCAACCAATGGCAAAACCAGATCTTCAACTAAACACCTGTCAATAGCTGCCTCAGCATTACGTGTGAATGAGAACCAAGAGAAAATAAAGGGATTATCTTCTGTGAGGAGGCCTAGTTTATCCTCTGGATTAAGTGGAGGAGCATCAAAAACTAGAAATATGGAACTTATTCAGCGCAGGGAGCCCAGTTCAAAGCATATTTCTCTCTGTCATGAACTGCATACTCTGTTCCAAGTTATGTGGTCTGGCAAGTGGGCACTGGTGTCTCCTTTTGCCATGCTTCATTCTGTGTGGAGGCTAATTCCAGCCTTCAGAGGATATGCTCAACAAGATGCTCAGGAATTTCTTTGTGAACTTTTAGATAAAGTGCAGCAGGAACTGGAGACTACGGGGACCAGATACCCAGCTCGCATCCCTGCTTCTCAAAGAAAACTTATAAAACAGGTTTTGAATGTGGTTAACAACGTTTTTCATGGACAGCTGTTAAGTCAGGTATGTTTTATGAGTTATTGAATTTTTTAAGGTGTGTAATGATTTGCAGTTACAGTTTTACAGTGGTCAGCGATGGGCATACTTCTAAGGTTAATACACTTGTAAGTACAAGGAAGGATGAGGAGGATATAATACGCTCAATTTCAGTAGAAAGGTCATCTGGGTACTCCTACAACTTTCAGTAGAAGAATCACATAAAAGTGTTAAATTTGCTATTTTAAAGCACACCTTTGCAACTACTGAGGAATACCAGTCTTTGCTATTAAACACCAACTCAGTGCTAGGAATAAAGAAGTTACAGTTTTAAGTATTTAGCTTATCACTCTAGTAATACTAGATAAAAGGTGTTAAGAAAACTATTAATCTTGATTAAGTCGAAACAGATTAGGTAATGAATGGCAAGCAGGGTATTATTTCAGGAATCTGAGATTCATTCTTACAGAGTAATTGCATGTCATGATGGGAAAACTAATGCTTTTCTCTGTTACACCACAAAGATTCAGAAGGCTCTGTCAATGCAGGAACCAAATTTGTTGGGTGGAGGCAATGGTTACTTTCCATTTTACTGCCCAGCTATTTTTTTTTTTTTTTCTTCTTGGCTTCCTGTTAAGTACTTTGGTGTGTCCACTTACAATTATGCATGTCCCAGCTGTGCATGTACAAATGCCTGAGAACGGTCCGAGGAAACAAATGCTGCTTTCTGTTGAATTAATCTAAAAACTAATTGCAGTGCAGCAGAAACGGAGGTTGAGAAAGTCTTGCCCCCATGGAATTATCTTCCGTGTGCAGGCACATGTTACAGAGGGAGTGCAGAAGCATTCGATGGATACCTTGTGTAAAGGAGAAGAGTTTTAACACAAATTAACAAAAAGGTGGATGTTCGCATTGTTCTGACTGTTTGATGGTTTCATGTTTTAGTATGTGGGGCTAGAAATCCAAATATTTTTTGACTAAGGTAAGATTGTTTATTGCCAAGATATCTGTAAACTTTAGGTCATGCTGGCTTTTGTGTAACTAGTCAAAACTGTTGTATCTGCTGCTAAAATCAGATCATTTTCTAACTTGCATTTGGCCCAGTGTAAGAGCATTTCTGTTGGCGTGCTTCCTTTCCTCAGGGTAGTTAACATATCTTGTATCAGGGTTGATCTGATAGCAGTATCTAGTATATTACTAAAGCTTTCTGTTTGAAAATCACATTCCTCTCCAAAAGAGTAACTTTGTTAGTAAAATAAAATAATTGCTTAAATATATTGACAAACTTTGATTGCATTTCAAGCCTTACAGGATTTATTTTTTGGAAGAATTTTCAAGGCTTTGAAGACACAAGCATTATTTCAGTAGTACCACTTCTTTCACATGTTTTTAGCTTTGTTATGTGAAGAGGCTTGTGACTAGAAACCTTCCCACCTTCCTGAAACTAGGGAGGAGAGTAGTGAGAATTCACTCAAGTGTCATCAAGTAAGACTGAAAGGGAATTAAACAGTTTTGAGCTGTCCTGTGATTTCTGTGACTACCACACACAACTCTTCTACTGCAGCTGGTCAGTAGTGTGCGGAATACAGCCTTAATGAACTTCAGAATGTCTCAAGTGAGAGGAGCAAGGAAAAGAGTATTGAGGTTATCTGTAATAATTTCTCCCTGGCTCATTAGGCAGTTCCCAAAGGCTGTCCAACAGTACCTCCTAATGTTCCCTTTGTCTTTTGCCACTTTTGTTTCAGTTTAGTCTTCACTAGCACTTTTGAACATGATAAGTAATAAAAAGAAATGGTAACCCCTGAAGATGTAAATTTCCTCCTTGATAAAATATATTCAGGTTATCTTAATGATTACAGTGCCTGGTATTCGCACATGAAAGGATGAGCTTTAAAAACTGTATTAGGCAGTTACTTTCCTCTGTAAGACTCCTGCATCATGATTTCACTAGATGTTTGTCACAACTGGCACAAACTGTGATAAATTTAAAAAAGCAAGAAAATGTCTCCATGCAGGACTTCTTGCTGTGTCATCACGGCTTTGACAATGTTGGCTCTTAAAATAAAGGAATGTACACTTTTCCTTTGTAGGCTTAATTTATCTACCTGCGAGCTGTAACAGTATTAGAGTTTCTTTGTAGAAGATAGTTGGAGTTATTTATTTAAAACATTTATTAAAACAGGGTGGGATTGTAGTCTGGAGTGTTTAATAAGCTACATCTTAGTGAAGAAGGGGAATGGAGAAGATCACTTCTGTGAGCAGTTGCCTTCTGTTTTGGAATCACTAAAAAAGTTATGATACTGTGCCTTTGTACTGAAAATATCAGTTGTAGATATTTGATTCAGTAAGATACAAGTGCAGTGAAGTCAATCCTCTTGACCTTCAAACCTCAGGAATACTGTTAACTGCTCTTGGTGGAGTACACACAGAGGATCACTTACAATGCAGATAAGCTGTATGTTTACCTAGGTTTCACATTACTTTCACATGCACGATCAAACATTTAGCTTGTTTCTAGCTGTGCATTTAACTTGAAGGGAAGTCATAATCCTGAAGTTGCCATCAGTTTGTTACTTTTTAAATGTCTGCTGGTTCAGCATTAACTGAATTTAGGATATAAGATTAAGAAAGGTGAAAACTGGGTGTGTGAGAATCTTCTGCAGATTACTTTTAGATAGCTAGGTGATATCAAAACAGTTGTTTATTTTATATGTGTTGGTTTTGTTTTGTTATGTTCTCAGCTAATTTAAAGTAAGCCTTCATGACATACTACTTGAAATCTTTTACCATTTTATGGAATACCAGACTAGGTAATGAGTCACTCCAAGAATAGCATGAGTGGATTGCCTCTCGACTTCTAAAAATTTCATTATTATTTATGTGCTCCAATATCTTTTATATGATTACAGCTTTTTATTGTGCAGTATAAACTGTGAAACTTAAATGCTCAGTACATCTAAGGCAGGTAAAGAAGAGGATATGTAGCTACAAACTCCTTCCCTTCTATTACTTCCTTTTCACATTGTAGTTTTCCTTCAGTGACTGCCTGGAGAAAGTTCTGCTATAGCACTTCCTGGGCAAAGGATAGCACTTCCTGGGCAAAGGAGTCTGTATCTTGTAAACCTTGTTCCTCTCGACCCCCCTGGAATTGTAAGAAGATGCAAATATGTCTGTTAAAACCCCAGTTATTTTCAATCTCTCAGTGCCTGTACTCTTGTGGAAGGTATCCATTACCGTCTGTCCTCAGTCCTTCAATGGGAAAGGACAAAACACTGCACTGTGAAGTTATGTGCCAGTGGTAAACTGACCCATACTGATCCACAACAGATCTTTGAAGTACACTTCAAGAGCTCCAGTAGGTTAGCTACCATTTCTCTCTAGAAGTTTTTGGCTTATGATTCTAAAATGGTCCCAGCTAAATAGCACAGTATACAACATTTTTTTTAGTATTTATTTCAAACTTTGTCCACGTTAAGCAAGGAATTGGGCAGGTACATTTTTAAAAATGCAGAATTTGGAATAGCAGATTTTAGCTTCCAAAGTAAATGTATGTTTTCAGCACTGCTTTGGGAAAACTGGGTTCCTGATGTCTACAGAAATCATACTAGCAAAAACTCATGCTTTTTGGACACTACCTTCATCAAATTTCTACCACTGTGTTGGTAAAACCTTAAAAACTTCCTAAAGATCAGAATAGGCTTCTTGCCATGACGTATGGTAGGAACAAACTACTTTTCTGTAAGCCAGACAGGATGATTCTGAATATTTTTACCTACTCTTAAACAATGCTAAAATAATAACTGATATTATTGAATTTCTTAGTATTCTTAATTTTGTGTGTTAAGAGATGTAAAGGTATAATGAACCTTACAATAACAAAATAAATTGTTAAAATAGTTGCTGAAGAGCAAACTACTACTTTAGAAAACTCTTTTGTTACCAGATATTGTTTGTCTTTCCTCAGTTGCTTGGCTTTGTCATTTTAATGATGACTTCCTGACATTTAGGTTCACATACACTTGTACACATGCACATACACACATGCATGCACACACGGATTTCTTGAGGTTGAAAAGGACCTCAAGATATCATCTTGTCCAACTCTGCTTAAAACAGGGACAGCCAGAACAGCCAGTCAGGTCTCCAATAGCACCAAGGGTGGGGACAGTCTCTGCTGGCAGCCTGTGTCACTGCTAGACCATCCTCACAGTAAAACCAGTTTCTTCTTCTGCTTGAATGGAACCTTCTGTGTTTTAGTTTGTGCCAGTTACCTCTTGGCCTTTCACTGGGTACCTGGTTCAGTCTTCTTTACTCTTCTGATCAGGTGTCCATACACAAGGATAAAATCCACCCTGAGCTTCTCTTCTCCAGTCTGAGCAGCCCCAGTTCTGTCAGCCTCTCCTCACAGGTCAGATGCTCCAGGCCCTTTCACCATCTTCCTGACCCTCTGACTCACTCCAGTAAGTCCGTATCTTGTAATGGGAAATGCAGCGCTAGACCCAGCACTTCAGCTGTGTCTCACCAGGGCTGAGGAGAGGGAAGGGCTCACCTCCCTCTATCTGCTGGGATGCTCTGCCCAATGCAGTGTTGCTCTTGGTGAGGTTGTTCCCCCAGCCTTTCCCAGCCTGTGCAGGTGCCCGGGGTTATTCCTGCCCTGGCGCAGGATGTGGAGCTTCCCTTTGTTGAGCTGCATGAGATTCCTGGTGGCCCATTACCCAGCTTGTCCTGCTCCCTTGAATGGCAGCAAGAGGCACTGGTGCATCAGACACTGCCTAGGTTTGTGTCAGCTGCAATCTTGTTGAGAGTTTTAAAAGAATTGCCTCCATTATTGACCCCTGGGGTACACCACTAGTTGCTGGGCATTTCATGCCGCTGTCCACAGCCCATTGAACCTGACAGGTTACTTAGTTTTCAGTCCACCTGGCCATCAATTTGTCTAGCCTGCACTTCATTTTTTCTGTGACGATGTTATGGAATACAGTGCTGAAAGCCTCACAGAATGTTAAGATAAACATCCACTGTTTTCC